TCATCCGAATCCGAATCCACCAATGGCGGTGTTCCAACTCTCATAGGTATGTCCACTTTAGAAAAACTGGATAAAGCTGACATACTTGTGTTGTTTGTATGAGTAGAGGCACCTTGGAGAAGGGTATTTGATTTATTAAGACTGGGTTTATCAAGTGTCAGAGCAGTGCAACTTCTGCCTGTAAGCTTTGCTCTTTCTTTCACAGAGTCAGTTGTTTTAACGCTATCATTTTCTTTATCTGAATGACTTTCACTCATACTCCTCTTTGAATTACTTTTTGAGCTACGCTTGCTTTGCTCTTTCTCTATGTACTCCCTAGATTTCTTCATCAGGTTCTGAAGACTCATTACGTATGGATCTTGGACTTCCTCATCCGACGGTGGCACTCCTAGTCCCTCTTGCTTTTGCAGAGCCTGTGACGCAAGCTTATTATGCACGTTGTCAGGAGACGCAGCCCTTGGACAAGGTATGTCTTTTGAGAAGTGACTCTCACTTTGCTTTGAAAAAACATTTTCTTCTGCTGCTTTAACTACTTCTGTCACATTTGATGTCACCTGCCCAGTAGTATCTAACGGTGTAAGTTCTGGTGTCTTTTCAAGCTCCGTGGGACCATGCCTTTCAGGAGAACATGCCAAATGGACATCTGCTAGAGCTGTGCAGTCAGTTGAAGCTTTTGAATCTGAATCAGGGCAAGTATTCTCAGCCTCCCGTGCATTCACGTCACTCATGCTAGGTCCTTTCCTGATCTGCAAATAAAAATTGAAAAAAAAAAATCACGTCTTTTGCATGAAATCTCCTCAGATTACCGCAAGCTTCACCTGAACTTAAAAAAGAATGCTGCCACCTTAAAACCAATAAAAATTTTCAGTTCGACTGTTACTAATTTCCTTCAACTTACTTAAAATACAGAGCTCTTTGCAATGAGAAAAAGATTATTGGAATTAAAATATAAATTTGAATAATGGTCCACTCAGAATTTTTACTGATACCAAGTATCTGAATGCAAAGATGCTCTGTTCTTCAAAAGGTAATTTGGACATATTCAAATAATTTTATGGCTTCAAATTACCTTGCAAGATTCCTCTTAAAATATGAAACATGTTTATATGAAATGACAAACATAATTGAAGAATTTCAGCATGAAATATAGATTAACCTACAGATGACTAAGAACAAATCAAAATAATTCCTAACCAAAATAGTGGAACTATGAGATAATTTTTTCATTTCTTTACTAATCCCGAGACAATGAAATACGAGTTTTCATTTGTCAAGGACTTGGAAAAACAACTTTATTTAAGTGAGAATTACATGCTACTTCTAGCCAGCATTTGTTTAAAAGGATTTGCACACTAAAATTATCCTATAGGTTATCCTATGTACTACAACTCAGTTATCAAGGGGACACCTTTGGGAAAAAAGCTAACTTATTTTTGTATTCAACATATGTTCCTGGTCTGCTCTTCAAATCCTAAGTCAGATGATTGTTGCCATGTACACTCCAGTAAACAATGCAAACTAGTAAGTTATGTTTGCCACCTTAGTAACTCAACAAATTCAATGTTAACTGTACTTGTTTAAGCAAGAGGTTAATTTAAAGATTGTATTACAACTGTTTCAAAGACAAATAATACCGCTTGATTAGATGTATTTAATAGTCTTTTCAATTTAAACCTCTACTAAATTCATCATTGAAGCAGCAAAGAAAACAAAATAGTTGCAGTAAAATTATAAAGCACAACAGAATTACTAGTTGTTGCGAAGGTTATTTTAATTCTGTAATCGTAAGGTTGAATATAGATTATTTTCTGATTAAACTATAAGCTTGCAAATAAAGCAAGCCAGTTGCTCTAACAACAGGGGTTTTGTTCATTTGTTTTTACAATCTAATTGTTTCAAACACAGTTACAAAAGCAACAGTCAGTCACCTGGTATTGTCTGTCCTTTGCATATTCCAAAACAAGCAGTGAAAAGCAAGTCCCATGCATTACAATGAACGTAGATATTATCACTAAATAATCAATTATCAGGTCACATAGCATGAAATACTAGCAAACGCTGGCTCTGGAGAGTTAACTGCTATTAATTTCATGTTTATATTGGTGAATACTTAAACCCCAGCACTTTCTCAAAATGTCTATAAGCAGAGGTTTTCTGTAAAGCTATAAGGCGGCTTTGGACAAACACTACCTGAACATTTTCTAGAATCTCCTGAACACGATTCAATAAAGCTCTTTTCCGGGAATTCTGTCTCCAGGTCTCTAGGTCCAGTGCTTTCTGTTTATATTGCTGTATTTCCTTTTTCTTTTCAAGGCTAAGCTGCAAAACAGAGTGTAAGAAACACGGTTTATATCACTAAATGCAAATTTCAATACAGAATTACAGAAATAAATTAAAAGAAAAACAACAGAACAAAACAATAGAAGAACAGCAATCACCTAAGTTGAGGCTTTGCGCACATTTTAAATGCCAGCTTCTTTTTAACTAATTATACTTTTTTTTAATGGAAGATGCACAAAATGCCTTCTTGGCACACATGCAAATGAACATGAATGTAAAAGGTCATTTATAAAAAAATTTGCATGAACATTACATGCTACTGTACCAACTTCAAATGACACAGGACTCAGACTGCAGGACAGGTCTTTCCCAGTCCTCCACGGAGATGGGAGGTTTGGGCATCCTGTAGAGCCCTCTGTGACCTACCTTTCTACCCCTACTCAAATTATTAAGCTCTACGAAAGACTAGCTCACACTTGCCCTCTTGAACCACAGGTGAATTTCACAACAAAACAGAAATGGATGCAAGCAGCCTTCTGGATCCTTTCAACAATCAGAATCTGAAAATCTTCTGAGTTACTACTTTAGAATACGTAGTTTGGATAAAAGGCAAAACTAGATCTACAAAATTACATCTACAAGAAATGGTTTCATGAAGTTCTACAAAATTAAGTAGTCTTAAGTCAAATTATGCATTTCTTCTATGAAACCTTAAATTATCCACCCATTTGTAAATGAAAGATATTACAATATATCATTTAGTCTCCAATGTGTATCTGTATCACAATTTTTGGAAATTGTTGTTAGAGTTAGAGTGTCTCATTCATACTTTCCATCACTGAAACAAGGAAGTCAGCTGCATTATTGCACAAACTACCAAGTCTTCTGCGTGTCTCTGTTTGCATTAAGCATAAAATGACTCAACGTAATTGATGAGCCTGTGAAATACATTAGAGAAAGCTGCAAACAAACACAAAAAAAATTTACTTAAAAGCTTTTTAACTATCTCAGTATTTCCTATTTGCACTTTTTTTTTGATACTTTTAAACAAACTCACATGTTCAATATTTGAATGTCAATAAGATTCTACATAAAGTTAAGCCCAGCAATAACATTCATCTATTTAATGCCACAAACATTTTTACTCCCCTCGTGAAGAAAACAAATTTCAAGAAATGAAAGCAGATGTAGTCAATACGAAAAAAAGTACACCTTACCCCTTTACTTTGTAAAATTAAGGCTAGGAATGCTTAGAATACACTAAGCAGCAGGCCAGATGATACCTCAAACAGAGCTGTACCTTCAGTAGAATCATTACGTGTGGACATCAAAGCCAGTGCCAATAGCACAGTAAGCACACCAGGGAAGGAAAGAAAAGAAGAAAAAAAAAAAACCAGCCTTACCAGAGGGGAAAGCACAGGAACTCCATGGAATTGAATGAGGGAGGTATTTTTGTGCTGAACATTGAAAGAGGTTTCTCTTTTTATTGCCTCTTCTTGGATTCTGGAAAGATGCTTCTTGCAGAATATCTCATAGTCCTCCATCTTCATGTTAACTAAGCTGCAAAGAATAGTAACATTACTCTTCCGTGTACTTCCAAGACCATGAAGGGAAAACACCACCACAACTAATTCTGTATCCCTATATTCTGGGAAACAAATTATACACCAGAAAACTCAAGTTTCTCTTTTTCCTATCATTAACAAAAGCTGCAAAGCTGGGGTTTTTTTTCCACATAAAAGTAAAATCTGCATATATGAGCAATAAAAGATGATCACAGGTACACTGACAAGAAAGCAAGCATTGAGATAACCAAGACTTACAAAACTACACATGCTACAGATAATCTTAACAATTTCCCTCAAAGATTAAACCTTTAAGGTCTCCTACAACTATCAGATAGATCCTATCAACTGTAAAAAAACAATAAATAAAATTGCAGCCAAATTTAAAAAATTTAAAAAAGAATTAAGCTGGTATTGAAGCAAGACCAGCCTTTATATTCAGGGGGCTGAGAGGAATTTGTGTCTCACTCCCATGAGCCTCCTCCTCGATACATCCCTATATGAACAGACGCCAATACTTCCATCAAAAAAATACATTACAGCCTAGTTTCCTTAAAAGAGCCTACATATCTCGCACTGCCCATCCCTACCGGCGTAAAAATTCAGAGCCAAGCACCACCTGCCAAGGCCTGCCAACGCTTTTGTCCCCTCGCACACCCCTTCGGCTGATTTCTGCCTTCCTCCCGCCCTCTCCGGGCGCACCGAGCCCTCCCCAGGCCGCCCGGTTGGACC